TCAAAATTATTGGCACCCCTGTTTTCAATACTCCAGCACACTTCCCTTGTGAGGATAATGACATTTAGCCTTTTTCTAAAATGCTTTATGAGATTGGAGAACACATTGGGAGGGATCTTAGACCATTCCTTGATACAGTATCTTTCCAGATCCTTGATATCCTTTGTCTGAGCTTATGGACTGCCCTCTTCAATTAAAACCACAGGTTTTCAATGGGGTTCAAATCCGGAGACAGATGGCCATTGCAAAATGTTGTTATTGTGGTCAATTAACCATTTCTTTGTTGATTTTGTGTTATGTGCTAAAATGTCCTGGTACTTGGTCAAGTTCATGATGCTGTTGAACTTAACAAGAGCACCAGGACCAGTGGAAGCAAAATAGCCCCATAACATCAAATATCCACCACCATATTTTACAGTAGGTATGAGGTACAGTATCAGCATTTGCTTCCGTTTTTCGAACCCTAACCCACTGGTATGTGTGGCCTCATACCTACTGTAAAATATGGTGGTGGATCTTTGATGCTATGGGTCTATTTGGCTTCCACTGATACTGGGGCCCTTGTTAAGGTCAACGGCATCATGAACTTTACAAAATCTCTTTCTCTGTGCAATTGTATAAGTATAAAATAATTGTATTTTCCCAAAAGATGTAGCATACAATATAGCTCAGTATTTGCATGATTTATTTTATAGTCTTTTTTGCTCATCTTTATATGTACACTACCGGTCAAAAGTTTTAGAACAGCTACTCATTCAAGGGTTTTTCTTTATTTTGACCATTTTCTACATTGTAGAATAATAGTGAAGACATCGAAACTATGTAATAACACATATGGAATCATGTAGTAACCAAAAAAGTGTTAAACAAATCAAAATGTATTTTATATTTGAGATTCTTCAAATAGCCACCCTTTGCCTTGATGACAGCTTTGCACACTCTTGGCATTCTCTCAACCAGCTTCATGAGGTAGTCACCTGGAATGCATTTCAATTAACAGGTGTGGCTTCTTAAAAGTTAATTTGTGGAATTTATTTCCTTCTTAATGTGTTTGAGCCAATCAGTTGTGTTGTGAGAAGGTGGGGGGGTATACCCTATTTGGTAAAAGACCAAGTCCATATTATGGCAAGAACAGCACAAATAAGCAAAGAGAAACGACAGTCCATCATTACTTTAAGACATGAAGGTCAGTCAATATGCAACATTTCAAGAACTTTTAAAGTTTCTTGAAGTACAGTCGCAAAAACCATCAAGCGCTAGGATGAAACTGGCTCTCATGAGGACCGCCACAGGAATGGAAGACCCAGAGTTACCTCTGCTGCAGACGATAAGTTCATTAGAGTTACCAGCCTCAGAAATTGCAGCCCAAATAAATGCTTCACAGAGTTCAAGTAACTCTGACACATCTCAACATCAATTGTTCAGAGGAGACTGTGTGAATCAGGCCTTCATGGCTGAATTGCTGCAAAGAAACCACTACTAAAGGACACCAATAATAAGAAGAGACTTGCTTGGGCCAAGAAACACAAGCAATGGACATTAGACCGGTGGAAATGTGTCCTTTGGTCTGGAGTCCAAATTTGAGATTTTTGTTTCCAACCGCTGTGTCGTTGTGACACGCTGTGTGGGTGAACGGATGATCTCCGCATGTGTATTTCCCAGCGTAAAGCATGGAGGAGGTGTTATGGTGTGGGGGGGGCTTTGCTGGTAACACTGTCTGTGATTTATTTAGAATTCAAGTTACACTTAACCAGCATGGCTACCACAGCATTCTGCAGCGATATGCCATCCCATCTGGTTTGGGCTTAGTGGGACTATCTTTTGTTTTTCAACAGGACAATGACCCAACACACCTCCAGGCTGTGTAAGAGCTATTTTACCAAGAAGGAGAGTGATGGAGTGCTGAATCAGATGACCTGGCCTCCACAATCCCCCGACCTCAACCAAATTGAGATGGTTTGGGATGAGTCGGACCGCAGAGTGAAGGAAAAGCAGCCAACAAGTACTCAGCATATGTGGGAACTCCTTCAAGACTGTTGGATAAGCATTCCAGGTGAAGCTGGTTGAGAGAATGCCAAGAGTGTGCAAAGCTGTCATCAAGGCAAAGGGTGGCTATTTGAAGAATCTCAAATATAAAATATATTTTGATTTGTTTAACACGTTTTTGGTTACTACATGTTTCCATATGAGTTATTTCATAGTTTTGATGTGTTCACTATTATTCTACAATGTAGAAAATAATAAAAATTAAGAAAGACCCTTGAATGAGTAGGTGTTCTAAAACTTTTGACCGATAGTGTATATGCAGTAGAAACACAGTCAATCATCTTAAAATACTTTAAAATGTATTACATGCGCCCCCGAAAAAATATGGCCAACTTGGGACATTTTCTCCATATCAGCACAAAATTCAACAGCAATCTCTATTCAGAGAGGCATAGTTGTCCATTTGGTCTCTTAGAACTGATATGTTGGGTATATAATTTAATTTGACTGAAGTTAAGAATCTTATCCTACAAGTCAAGTATCCCACTTAAAGAATACTCCTCTTCAGAAAAACCCTCCCTATCTCAATCATCCTTTCATTACTGCCGTTGGAGAAGCCACTGGCCGATAACGATGCGACTAACATATTTCAAATATCACATTGACTTAAATTTAGACTCACAGATCACTGAGTTGGTGCTTTTAACTTCACAGTGTCTGCCAATGACCTAATTTTGCGTTCCATTGCCCAGACAATACTGTAGGCACTTCCCATTTAGAAGTGTTGGAAACCATTGTGTGTTTTGGGCCTGGATTGTTTGTTTTACAGAGCTCTCCCGCATAAACAGTGGCAGTAGATGACCTCCTATAACATTCATCCAGACCAAGCAATGTGGCTATTGTCATTGGGGTTGGAGGAACTATGATAGTTAGAACACTTTCTGGTCATTTCTGGACAATATTTCTCTAATTTTATTCATTTAGGCAACCCATTTAGAGGACCCATTTTGGCTCAGGAGCACCCCTAGAGGCAAAAGTTCTGTACAGCTTCTTTAACACAGTGGCTGTACTGTCTTTGCAAGTGCACAGAGCTAAAGGTTTAGTATCAACAGTGGAAAATAGTATGGGGGCAGACTGTAGCCTGAAAGGTAAGCGCTTAAATTCAAAATGTCCACATATGTAATGAAATTCTGCTGCAGATGACAAATTGTTACGGAAATGCTTGGACATGATATTCTGACTCAACATAGAACAAGTTACCCTCATCTACAGTGCTTTAACCTCAAGCATCTGTGTGGGGAATGGAACTAAATACATTTTAGAATGTTTATACATTCATGTGTATAGGAGTGACTGGACTAAGTTGAGATGTGATTGTGATAGGCGAAGTAGGGGTTATAGATATTTATATTGGGGCCTGACATGGCCAGCTGTCACAATGTATGCAAATTAGGTATACTGTTCAGAACCTATAGAATGCATGGTTGTACAGACTAATGAGCATCACTGGAAGAGTTATATTTTAAAGTAATATTATGTTAGTTCTCCTCTCCTGTGTCATGATTCAAGTGTTGTGTGTCTGAATTGTCTTATATAATTATATTTTTTCCTTTAAAGTTTATTTTCAACATCAAAGGGACAATATAGTCTTTGAAGTACCATGGGATAGGATCACTGTCTAACCCTTCCTTTAAGATGCCTTCACAATGACATTAGTGAAAGTCATCCGAATTAAAAGCCCAGGAAACATGTCTTGTCCATCTTCCATAGCCAATTTCAGCTAATGTCATAGTAGGCTATGGATTCTCCGTGTGTGGGAATTTACATATGGTGGTTCCTGAATAGGTAGGCTAATACAATAAATATGTTGTATTATTTGTCAATATCATCCCAGTGTCTCAATGAAAAGATTGAAATATATTGCTAGATAACTACCTCATATGATTATTTGATATCTTATGATTATTATTTTATATAATATGATATAGTATATTCCTTCGGCATTTTCATGGCAAATATATTTTTTTCCATTTGTTTATGAGAAATCCAAGTGAAATGTAGCCAACTTTGTCTACATAAACTGTTTACATTAATTTATATAAAGTTTTGTATTATTGTCTACCATGCAGAAACCAATAAGTTAAAATACCAAATATTTAGGAAAGGAGGTATGCCTCTTTAAAGTTTATGTAGCAACAGAAGGATTGCAGGGATAATGCTATTGGGGCGGTAGATCACTTACTTCTGACGTTCCAAAGCCTCAGGGAGTTGGCTCGAGATTGCCAGTCTTTGATAAGGTCCTTACAACCTAGTAAAAACTTTGTCGTTCCAGATAACCTCCTGACAGCTTTCTAAATACCGCCGACTATTGTCCAACAGTGTGTTTTGGGGTCTATATATTGGCTGAAGCTTGTGACGATGTAATTCAGTGCATTTTATTTGCTTCTATGTTTTTTGTTATCGGAAAGATGTTTAGATGTTTTTATGTATCTTCCGGGACCAGGCTGACGGTTCTTTACTTTGATATCCACAGTTAAACCCTCAGCCCGTTCCTTTTGAAATAGCCTAGAGGAGCTCTGCCGCCTGCTATGACTACGTGAAACAGTACCTGGGGAAGGGGAAACGAGCTTTCTTTTCAGGGATACATTTTATATTCCTCTTCTTTCTGAGATAAACATCAGAGCGGAGTAGACTAACACCGGCAATCTGATAGCGTTATTGTAATACTTTTTGGGTTGTTACTTTGTGTCTGTGAACCGTTTCTGATCATACGGGAAAGGACTCGTGTGCATCGATGGTAAGTTGCAAGAATGCAGTTCTGCAACCTTAACCAAGGCCCCCTCTCTTGGTCGCTTTGATGTGTTGCTGCAATGCTTTGAAGTTGAGAAATGTAGGCTACACTTGTTGTTTGTGGTCGAGAAAATACCGTAGAATGAATAAGTAAGGCAACTCTGAGATCGGGGATCAATGTGCTCGTGCGTTTATAGTTTTGGTGATTGTGAAGGCTGTAGAAGAGACTAGTATTGGTTGATATAGTTTACCGTAGTCTGAAAGAAGGGGGAAAGTGGGATGTATTCGGCAAGGTCCCCCTCTCCCGCCTCCTCGAAATGTCGACACCCCCTCTGATCTACATAGAAGCAGTGTCTGCGTACTTTGGGGTCAGTTGTTGAATGGGACAGGGTACTTTAGACTATTCCTATTGCATCAAGGACACACATGTGGCTAAGTAAATCTAGTCCACTGTCGGATTACCATCACTTCCATCGGACTTTTTGTTGGATATATACCACTAAAGAGGACGGGACATAAGCAAATGGGAATCGTTTTTTCTTCACTTTCTGCTGGACTCGGATTTCGTTTTACAATGGTATGTGATGTAGCATAGCCCATGTTCTTTATATACACTTCGCGAGCTGTTTTCTTTTCGTAAAGCATGGTGTTAATTTATGAGTAGTTGGGACACATCGATTGTTTATGCAAGTCTGGTAAACATTAACGTTGTTTTGATTGCGCAAAATAGTTTAGTGGCGCGTGGGTTTATGGTACATTTGGCACAATATGGACAGTTTTACTTGTGACATTATTGAAGATGACGTATAGCGCTTCTTAGAAAAACTAATAAGGATATATCTTGTCTAGTAGCCTAGTAATATTGTATTGTGCAGGGTAATCAAATCGCGTTGCTCAGACACGTTGCCTAGTGCTCGCTGGCATAGTTATGTGTTGTAGCCTACATGTGAGCTGAAATTTAGTAGGCTAACTGTGCAAATGATTGAAGGAATTATAGGCTACTGTTGATCGTGATCATTGTACGGGGCTTTTATCCTCACCATTATAGGAAGCTTAGTCCATTGTGGCGCATAGGATGTGTTTTCACTGTCTTGGATGGCTGGCTGTGTGATGTGCAACACTGGTTGTATGAGGACAAGTGGTACGTTGGAACGCAATCCTTATGCATAATGCAGATAACAGTATCGGAAGTACATTTAGACTGAGAATTAATTTGAATTGAAAGCTGTCAGGTGATCGTTTTGATATGCGTAAAATATGTTTTTGGTGAGTATTTGGTGAGGAATGTTGGCGATGTGAAACGATTGTTCTTGTCAATGGTCGTTTGATGTGACAAATCGATGCAGACTGTAAATATAGGTTGCTAAACCCCCCATTCAGATTATAAATAGATAACTTGATGAGACGAAACCTTTCATTTTTCATTCTCTGCGAACCGGCGGGGATCTGAAAGTGACTGTTTACTTCATGTCTGCCTTTGAAGTTAGCTGGATCTGGCTTTGATTAGATCAATACTTTCTGTTTCAGAGTGAAAAGGAGCCGAGAAGCTCCCCCGCGGATTTAAGAGAGTGAGGAGGATTACAGTGGAGCTCATAGCAGGCACAACGGCACACACGGCAACCGGAGCTGGAGCCATGAGCAGAGCGCTTACGGACCATATCAGCAGTAGCTTCCGAGAAGATGCTCCCCGTCCCCCGGTGCCGGGGGAGGAGGGAGAGGCGTCATGCCACACTCCCAGCAAACATGCCAAAATGAGAGCCCAAAACAAGGCTAAAGCTGTCACTGTCGCGTCTCCCGGCTCCATGCCGAGGAGGAACGAGGATGGACTCGGGGAACCTGAGGGTAGCGCGTCGCCGGATTCACCCCTCGCCCGGTGGACCAAGTCGTTGCATTTTCTCCTGGGTGACCAAGACGGTGCTCACCTGTTCAGGACCTTTCTGGAGCGGGAGAAATGCGTGGACACTTTGGACTTTTGGTTCGCCTGCAACGGGTTTAGGCAAATGGACCTCAAGGATACCAAAACGCTACGAGTTGCCAAAGCTATTTTCAAGCGGTACATTGAAAACAACAGCATTGTTGCCAAGCAGTTGAAACCTGCCACTAAAACCTACATAAGGGATAGTATTAAGAAGCAACAGATAGACTCTGCGATGTTTGACCAAGCACAAACGGAAATTCAGTCAACCATGGAGGAGAATGCGTACCAAATGTTTTTAACTTCGGACATATACCTTGAATATGTGCACACTGGGTGCGAGAACACGGGTTATGCCAACCATAGCGGTCTCGGGAGCCTCAAGTTGATGTGCGGATTTCTGCCACCTCTCATTGAGGAAGAGGAGTGGAGTTGTGACTTGAAGGCGAAAACGTTAGCCTCTGTGGTTGGACTATCTGCTAATGCGCTGCGGGCCACTGCTTCCATTCGGACTGCGGCGGAAGTGCTGGAGAATGGGTACAGGTAAGGAATGCCTTAATTTAATTGATTATGTTTACTGTCTATCGAGTAATTGAATTGTTAGTTTTTATTATGACTGTTTATCAATATTCTTATGTTGAATAGAGATCCTAAGGTTAATTAAGTGTATAGTATTAGTGAATTATTCGTTGTTGGGCATGTTGTCTGATGGATAATAGCATATAACTTGCATATAATCCAGTTATTAACATGTTGTAAAGAGCAGATATGCATTTGAACTAGTTATTTCCTAACTATGGCAATACGTTTTTCCCCTCAAATTCCATTATGAGATAAAATATGCTTGATGGAGAGAAAAAATATGAAAGTGGAAAAATGTATGTTTGTCCCCTCTGCCCTGCAGTTAGTCAGGGGGGTGCAAACCATCAATGGATCTGGTATTTCCTTTAAAGTAAATGGTGTATTGCAGGCAGCCCTTCACTGTCTTGCTCATGTTTCCTGTGCTTTGAAATTGCTACTCCAGTAGAGGCATGAATTCAGACACCAAGCCTGTCTGGCTGGCTGTTGCAGCTAGAACATGAAACTAGTGATGCAATTGTGAAGTTATGCAATATTTCTTCATTTTTCACCCTATTATTAAGTAGTCCTATTATTACAGACTGTAGTGTAACACACACACACATACAAGTCAGGAACATTGTGAAAGTGTGGATTTTATGCAAGAGCATGCATCAAAGAGAGCCATTCCAACGTTTTTCACCAAACTGTTCCCCTAGTATGTCCATACATTAAAAACAACATCTGGACACAATGATCACAGAGTAGTTAGAGAGTGTCTTGTTCCTTTCGGTGTCCATAGGAAAAGAGTGATTTGAAAAAGGGGCAGTTTTCAAGGAAACACATTTTTCTGAGAAATGTTTGTTGAGAAGAGGAGAAACTGGGTAACGTGTATGATAGTTTCATGACAAGTTTTCAATTACTAGTATTTTATCTAATTCATATTCAACTTTCATGCTAAAATAGTTTGGCAATGGGTTATGGGTTGACTGTCAGGAATATTAGTTCCTATGGCATGATAACTCTACATGCCATAGCTAGCTAGCAGGCTGGGGGACAGTGTTGCTGTGGCAGACAGGATGTTCAGAAGGGGCCATGTTGAGTTGGGAACTGAAGGGGGACTCAGGGGTTGTTGACATGAGGGCATCTCCTCAGCTTCCTGGTGTGATCCGCACATTCTTGTGTTTCACTAAAGAAAAGGGATAGCCCCCACCCCTCCCTCTCATCTCTTCCCCACCCCTCCCTCTCCTCTCTTCTTTCCCCCTGTCCCTCACCAACTGTTTAGGTCAACACATTTCCATCTGAAACATGTGGAACTAATTTCACTACTGCACTCAGATTTAATTTTTTCCCTCTGAAAGTTAGCCACTCTCCTCCGAAATAACGTGAAAAAACATAGCCGGCGCAGTTCAGCGTCAAACCCCCGTTACCCATTTCGCTTGTGATGTTTTTCCCCCCCTCCTTTCTACCCATTGCTTTTATCTCGTCTTTTAGAGAAATCCCTCTGACAGAGCCTAAGCATGTGCTTTGGAGGGAGACAGGAAGGGGGGGGGGGAATCATGAAAGAAAGAAAGAAAGAAAAAGAGAGGAAGGGAGGAACCGAGAGCCCAGCTGCGCTAAATACCTGACTCTTTGCGCGAACCTCCAAAGGTCAGGTTTGAGCTGGGGCCTACGGCTTTAGTCATCCTCCCGGCAGTAGGCATTCTCATAAAGAAAGAGGCCCTCCTTCCCCCTTCCCTCACTCCCTCTCTCCCTCTTTTGCTCTCTCTCTCTCCCTCCCCAAGCTCAAGTTCTCCCCTCCTTCCTCCCTGTCCACCCCCTTCACTAGTGGAACAGGAATGCAACACAGCAGGAGAGAGTAGAAAGAGAGAGGGAGAGAGAGAGACTTTAGAAGGATGGGAGGGGGGCTTGGTTGTAGGAGAAGAAGGAGGGGTATACAGAGGGGCCTGGATTTAAGGAAAGAAGAGAGGAAAAAAACCAGTAAGAAAAGAGTACACTGCTTCAGAGAGTGAAAAAGTGCGGGAGTAGGGCCCTTGCCCAAACAAAAGGGTAGAGAGATAGCAGGAGAGCGAGGGGAAGTGGCTCTGTTGTCCATTCACATACAGCTGAGCTGCTCACTTCACTCACCCCCTCCCTTACCCCCCCCCCCCACCTCCCTGCCTGTACGATGGGGGAGGGGACATGAAAGGGAGAGAGAAAATAAAAAACATTGTCACATTCCTGAGGCTTGCGAAAGTGACTGTAATTATTCAAATCTGTAGGAACTCCAACTCGAAAAACTTCAAATCAAACTTTTACTCTAGCTCCAAAGCAAAGACTCTTACTAAAACATGTACACAAGTAAACACACAAACTCCATTTACATAGCTAATACAGGTTCACCAATAGAAGTCTATGCATGGCACTGACGTTTTTCTTTGGGTGTCAGTAATGAAATGGTGGAATATGTATTGTAGTGTAAAAGGGACTGTATCAAGGACTCAAGGACAGTTGCTGTTGTTTTTGGCAGGTCACACAGACGTGGAGACCCGGCCAGTCCCTACTTTGTCAACTCGGGCTATGTGTTCGCCCCTGCCACCAGTGCCAACGACAGCGAGATCTCCAGCGACGCCATGACGGACGACTCCATGTCCATGACCGACAGTAGTGTGTAAGTGTTCTCTCAGCGTTCTCTTCAGGGTTTTCTCTGGGTTTCTCACCTTTTGACCTGGGTTGGGGGTCAATTCCATGTCAACTCCATGTCCATTCTGAAAATCATTTCACATTCAAAGTTGACTCCAGGCCTGCCTTTCTGAAGCATGTCTGAACGTCTATATATTCTGAAGCTCAAAAATTACTTTGATCATTTAGCCATTCAGTTAACACCTTTCATGGATACATATATACGGAAACAATTGGCAAAGACACTCAAGGACTAAATATCAAGTTTATCTGAGAAGCTGGCGCTTGTGTTGTTGTGAAAGGGAATGGGAAGTTTATGTTTTAATGATCCTTTCAGATTGAGTTCAGATAATTCTATTAATTTATGAAGTGCCTCTAGGCTTGGGGGGGGGGGTGTCTGTGAAAGTAATTATGTGGAAAAATCTGTTGATGTCTATTCTGATGTGTTACAGGCAGAACTTCTTGATGTGGGGGGGGGGGGGGGTGAGGGTGTAGTGGAGCGTTGCCTCAGTTTTCCTCAAAGTAGAAATGTATCCATCCCACCCACAACAGCCTTGTGTGTGTTTTTTCTTCATATTATCTAATCGCTTTTTCCCTTTGAAGGACTAGAAGGGAAAGAGAGAGAAGGGGGGTGGGGGTGTGAAGACAGGGGGGAGGGAGAGAGAGAGAGAGGGTGAGGGGAAATAGCCATTTGGACCTTAAGACAAACTCATTGAAAAATGTTGGCAGCAAATGAAAGTGAGCTTACTCACATGGTGGCGCGGTTTCCTGCTCTGCTACTGGCCCTCTCTCTCTCTCTCTGCTGCTGCAGCGCCACTGCTGCTGCGATCATGTGTCAGCGAGGCTTTCACGGAGGTTACTCATTCCTGGACCCCAGGATAGGGTCAGGAGGGACTCCCACTGCCCAGATTAGGGCACCCCCAAAATCAACCCGCCCCCCACCCTCTCTCCCCAACCTTCCTCCCTTACCCCTCCAACCCCAACCACCCCCCTATTTCCCTCTACTCCCCTCTCTCCTTCCCTCTTCTCCTGCACTCCGAGCCAATAGCAGGGGAACGGTGAGGGTTTGGAGTGCAAGGGAGTGAGAAAATAAAGTGCAGGGAGGATAAAAGGCTTAACTGAATCGCTTTCAGCCTATTGTTAGCCGAGGGGAGCTTAGGGGGATAAGAGGGGTGGCTGTCTGCTTTGAAAATGACTTGCACAACTGAATAGGAGATCCCCATAAAGTAAGGGCCCGTGAAAGGTCTGTTTTCTTCTTCTTTGCCCATGCATCGCCGCCACAACCATCACAAAGGGCCTCGGCCATCGCATAGGCCTGGCTCGCTGGGGTTGATTAAAAACGCAACAGGAGAGAGTGAATGAGAGAGAGAGAGAGAGAGAGAAAGGGTGAGGGAAAGGGATAGATTGAGTGGTGTTTTGGAAGGAGAAGGGCCTGAGTTGGGTTTTTGTTTGGTACATTGTTTTGTGAATTGTAACTTTTTTTTTGTCACAAATTTCTAGAGTTTTTTCAAGTGTCTTGAAGGTTCATGACTTGTAATCGAAGGATAAAAGTTAGGGAAGTATCAATTTTGATACTTGTAAGAAGTATGCCGCTCTTACATGGGCATTATTGGCAGTACTATCTAGGCTCCATCTGGTAATGCCAGTGTAAGTAGAACCCTGAGGCATACAAACCCAGAGTCATTTGACCAAATGATATATTAAGTAGAAAAAATTGATCCCACTAGAATTCAGTCACGTCTTTTTCCTGTGAACGTCTTCATGTGAATTATTAAAACGTCTTATGTTACAAAGTGTAGCGCCTGGCAATGGCCTGCCCTGCACAGAGTTCTTTGAGCCTTTGACAATCTCCTGTCCTCTCCCCCTGTCCCTCTGCTCTCTCTCTCTACCCCTCACCGATTGTAATAAAAACCACAGCTTCTTCCTCCTCATTGGGGGGAACAATTTGATTAGTGTGTCCTTTTATAGTTGGTTAAAAGGCACACTGCAAATTTGAATCTAATTTCCAGATAAAGAACAAGAGGATGAGGATTTTTGGGGGGGGGGTGGATGGGGGGGGGGGCATTTTTTTCTCTCTTTTTGCTTATATCTTATTTATGGATTTACTTGGACGCTAGGGAATGCTGCTGCGCTAACTTCAAACATTACCTTATCTTACAAACCAGCCTTTTGATGTTGCTGAGATCAGAGGCTTGCTGGCGAAACGCTTGCCAAATGAAGATGGCAGCGGGTGCATATGTGCATGAGTGTGAGGTTTCAAAGAGGCAGTGGAAAAACTAGCGTTTGGGCTAGGTCAGACACTTCTGAGCAACCAAAAAGACCAAGATAATTGGCCAGGCTTAAATGGCAGCGGACTGGAAAAGCACACTTTGGAGGGCAAGAAAGAGAAAAAGACACCTCCCCTTTCTTCCCCCCGCTACTGCCTAAAGGATGAAATGTCCAGAGACACTTGTTTTTTCAGCTACAATATGGCTGTTTTTCTTTATGTCAAACCTTTCTTTATGTCTAACACCGCTTTAAGCAAGATCGCTAGCCCCTCGAGTAGCAGCATTCTAGGCTTCTACTCTTAGCCAGCTTTAGCAAGGTAGTCGTTGTTACTGAGGCTAGAATTTAAAGTACCTTACTTAGCTGACATTTTGAAAAATCAGGCCCTTCCAATGTTGACAAGGACTGATGGGAACTTATCAGTGGGACACTTTTGAACCCCAGCGTCCGGGATGTTTAGCATATCTCCCCCCATTGTCCCGGTGTGTGTTTTGTTATGTGTGTTATTGTTGCCTTGGCTTCAAGGCCCTTCAAGGGCTCCTCTGGTCTTTGATTTGGGCTGTGATGCGCCCACCCTGGGGGCAATGGGGGGTGGTGGGGGTCAGGGTGGTGCTGGGTTGGTCACGTCAGTGATGATCAGGGGTTCTGTCGACATCACTAGCCTAATGTGTCTTTCACGCGGCTAATGCATTTTGAGTATTACTTGGGCCTGTGGGGTCACTAGTGGGAATGTTTGAACACATCCACAACATCAACAACATCATTCTAGATAATTTGGTTTTAAGCAAAGAGATAGGGAGGCGAGAAAATGTAAATGTTTCTATGGAGATACTGTAGATATGTAGCGGTTAGCATGCTAGTTTGCTAACTAGCCCCTGGTTCTTCAGGGGACATTTTGAGTGACCTGTGACTATGTTATTGACCCTGTGTCCTACCTGTGTCCCTTCTGACAGAGATGGGATCCCTCCATACAAGCTGGGCACCAAGAAGCAGCTCCAGCGGGAGATGCACCGCAGCGTCAAGATCAACGGCCTGGTCTCGCTACCCCACTTTCCTGTGAGTCCCGCTTCCTGTTTTGATGTCTGATGTCTTTATATACAGTGTCTTTAAACTCCACAAACTTTTCTCAATCGCCCTTTACAACCGGTTCCCTTTCCCCCCCATTGGGACCTGTGTTTTCTTATTTTTTATTTTGCAGAGTGCATGTTATTGATGTTGTGGTAGAATACTATATTTTTCCCCCCCGCTCATTTTCCTGTAAAAGTCAGGGAAAATGAAAAATGAAATTTGCATATCACTTATTTTCTCTCCTGCTCAGCCATATACACCCCCTCCCTTCCTCCCATCCAACGGCTGTCATTTATAGCTGTCAAATATAGACCCCTGTTGCTTTCCTTCCTTGTGTTTACCTCCATAACTTAGTCAAGAATGTTATAAATGCATCATGTTAAAAAAAAAAATGGATAATGATGGTGGTGGTGGTGATAATGAGGATGATTATCATTAGAGGTCAGGGGTCACAGAACCAAGCCTTGTGATGCTCCCTAAATCAGCCAGCTTACTACTCAGCCCTGTGCTTTGATCATGGCGATGAATGAATGGGACCCAGGTTGCCTGGCCTCTTTATTGACAACCTCCAACAGCCCCCCCCACACACACACTCCCCTTTTGTCACAGTAGACCCCTACCCCCACCCCAGCCCCCATATGACTCTCACCACCCCCACCCCCACTGCCTGTAGTGTCATGTGCAAGCAGGGGTCTCTAAATGCATGGTACTTCATGGCACAACTCTAGGGCTTGGAGTGGTTAGATTGACACTCAGTGCTGGGGCACCCGTGTCAGAAAACAACCAATGCAAATTGTTTTGTCCTCTTCCCTTCACAATGTGTTTGTGTACTATCTTGACGCATAGGAAAGGCTTTGTGTGTGTGTGTGTGTGGGTGTGTTGTGTAGGGAGGGGATGTAGCCAAGTAGAAGGGGCCCTTGTTGTCTGTTTCTCTCTCCTCGCTCCCTCCCTTCCCCACTTGCTCTCCTTTTAATGTCTCCCTCCTGATTTGGAGATGGCTCGGGCTCCCAAGATGCACCAGCCCCAGGCAGCGGGGGCTCTGCGTGGCGCTGACGCGCCTTTGCCAGCAGCCCCTCGCTCTCCTTTCTTCTCTCTTCCCTTCATCGTCTCTACAAAGAGATGAGAGGACCAACAAAAAAAGAGAGTAAAATCAAGAAAGCCAGAGCGCCAAATAATAATAAAATACAGAAGAGAGAAAAGAAGATGAGAGAAGCCGGCACATATAGTTAGAGAAAAATAGGATAATGCGACTACAGTACCTCAGAGGTGCCCTGCGTGCAGTCAGGAAATAAATTACCACTTCCCCTTAGATCTCCCCGGTATTTGACTCCTCTATCCTCCTCTCCTTCGCTCCCTCCCTCCCTCCTACCACTCCACAAGCGCCACACATCTCTCAATCCTCTTCCTCCTTTTTTCTTCTTCCTCTTCTTGTTTTAATATTGTCCCCCTCTCTTTTTTTCTCTGCCTCCTCCTCTGACTATCGATATCTGTCTTTTATTCGGGGAGATTTAAAGCCGCGTGTCCCTCCCACCCCAAGCGGTGGAGTGTTTGATGTTTGACAAGGGCCCCTTTGAAGTGTGCTAACTTCAGAGGCTGCCTCCGCTGATGGCTTGGTCGGAGTACAGAGGGAGCAGGCGGGGGGCCCTTCCTCCTCGGAGCCAGACCAACTGCTACCCCCCCCCTCATCCCGCTACCCCGCTGACGGGCAGGCGGTGCCAAGGACAGCGGGAATGGGGAGGGGGATTCGGGCTAGGGGTTAGCCCAGGGGCAAGGGCATCAAAGGAGGCCTATAGAGTTAGAGTAGAGGGCACTGGAGGAATTGGGGGGCAAACTAGGGACAACTAACTCAAACACTCACTCAAACACACACTCAAAAGTGTCCTTCCTCCCATCTCGCTGCTACAGAGGACACACAGGCTGCCAAAAGAGATGACGCCGGTGGAGCCCTCGGCCTTCGCCGCCCAACTCATCTCCAGACTGGAGAAACTGAAAAGGGAGCAGGACACCATGAGCTCCCTGGAGGAGAGGCTACAGCAGATCCAGGAGGTAAGAAAACCCCCCTTTCCAAACTACATTGGTACATCCCACCTCACTCCCCAACCCACCTGCATTGAGCTATGAGCTTTGGAACGTTCCATTGTGACCTAGTTTAGGTGACTCTCCGGTCCTGAACCCTGTCTTTGCTACCTAGAAAGGCAATGTAGCTAGGAGGAGCCATGTGAGAAGTTAGCTTTGTAGCTAGCTAGCTGACTCTTCTTCCTTGATTCAAAGAGACTTTGCGTGCGGTCTTGCTTTAGAAAGAATAAGACCCAGGGGAATTTAACTAACTAAGGGTCTGCGGTGGAGTTTAGCGACTTCTTCTCTTAGTCTTCATTCCTCTTCTGAGGAAGTTTCAAACTTATGTTTCTTGACACACTTGAAGTTTCTTCAAATGGTTAGCGCTTAGCGCTCAACTCTCCAGCGGCGTATTGCTGAGTGTGTGTAGTGCCAGTCTCTTTGTGAGTCTGGGCTTGCTGTGCATTATAGATGAAGAACGAAGAAGCTAGCACACCCAAAGCCTGTTAGTAAGTAGAACCAGGGTGAAAGAAACTGAACGAGAAAGTCAAATCAAGTTACGCCATAGAAATCGTCTCAGCTACTTCACAAGCCAATACAGTACATGGTGTTTGTCGCAGTGTGAAGTTTGCTGCGAATGGTCCAAATATTGTCAACTGACTGAAGTAGCGTTTTCCGCAAATGTCATTTGGTTGGGTTTAGCAAGCTAGCAATGCTTATATTTGTAGTGTTATGGAATTGAGTTGGTTAAATTGTCCCTGTACTTCTATATTGCGTCCATGTTCTAAAGCACTATGTCTTTGTGTGTGCGTAGGAGGAGGAGAGGGATGAGAGTGACCTCTCCACCACCGTCCCGCTCTACCACCCCCTGCTTCCCCCCTCGTCCGGCGCCGAGGAGGACGCCCAGGCCATCCTAGACGAGCACCTATCCCGGGTGCTCAAGACGCCCGGATGCCAGTCGCCCGGCGTGGTCCGCCACTCGCCCCGCTCGTGCTCTCCCGACCGGCCCTCTGCCGCCGTGATCCCCTTCCTGGGGCCCTCGTATCCGGGGGCCTCCAAGGGCCTGTTGGCTGGGATCAGGCAGTCAACCAAGCACATCCACCACCATTACATCCACCACCACACCGCCACCGGCCCCAAGAGCAAGGAGCAGATCGAGGCCAGAGGCGGCGCAGCACATCCAGTGTCCTCTGTCCCCCAGGGGGCGCCGACTACTCCGACTTCACCCCCGGGTCAGTTCACATACAATATTACCTGTACTGGGGTTCCGTTAACAATTCACATCAAGTACACTACATTTACTTTAGAGTTGTGCTGGGGTCTCTTCACATACACTTCACATACAACTACATTTACCTTAGGGCTGTACTTGGGTCAGTGATTTAAACTGTGTACTTAGGACACTGGCAATGACACCTTATCTTATGGATATGTCTCAGCATATGCTGAGTTTAATTTAGATTGATGTGACAAGCTGTATTGTTCCTATCGCTTGGCTCTAGTGATTGCTGTAGGAAAATGTAGTCTCTCCTCATGGAATAGTCCCATGTAACCCTCTCCTCTCTGTCTCCCCTCCAGCCGCTGCAGCAGTTTGTCCAAGCGGCCGGGGATGCCGTGTGAAGGCATAAGCCTGAGCCAGGCCAATGGCAGCGAGGGGGTCACGTCCCCACCCCACCTGCCCCTGGATTCCACGGACCGCTCGCAGAACGTCTGGCAGTGGATCCTGGAGAGCGAGAGGCAGGGCAAGAACAAACCTCACAGCAGCACTCAGGGCCTGAAGAAGACCCACCTCCCGGACCCCTCCACGCCCAAGACCCTTCCTGGCCGAACGCACACTTCCTGGGGAGGCGTGGGCGGCATGGGGGGTCACCTCCGTGGAGGTCACCATCCGGCCCACCCCTTCATCCAGGACCCGGCCATGCCTCCCCTGCCCCCGCCCAACACCCTGGCCCAGTTAGAAGAAGCCTGCAGGAGGCTAGAGGAGGTCTCCAAGCCCCCCAAACAGAGGTAGGCACACATACACACACTCAAACACTCATATAGCCCCTCTTTGTCCTAGCTTGAGATGTATAGTCATTTACATTGAGCCAAATTAATCTATCCAAATTAATTGAGAGATTTTCTGAAATGGTTGACTTCAGTCGACTATTAAAGCCTACACCTGTTTTCCTCCATCTATGTCATGAATACCGATTCCATCAATCTCATTCCATTGTTTCTTTGTCTCTGTCTTTCTATGACTGACAGGCATTCAACGTCTAGCCTTCAAAGAGACAGGAGTCATCCTGTGCCTTTCCCCAGTGGAAACCCACCTCTGTCCAGCCCCGCACTTCAAACAGAGGAGTACGTTCATCTTTCTCTCTCTCTCCCTTCGTACTAGCTGCCTTTCTTTCTCTCTCTTGCACTTGTCCTCTCTCTGATTTCCCCCACGATAGGGATAGTGTGAGTCAGCATGTCTATCCCTTTGAACTCTTCTTTTCTCTCTCGCTTTTAATCATTTAAGATTAAACATGATGGGTGTAGTCTGACACAGTCGTCACACACACACACACACACACACCGGCGGATACACAGACGTACACATGGAAGATAAAGACCTCTGCTACCTCAGCCCTGTGTGTGTTGGTGTGTTGGTGTGTGTACGTCTGTATCTGTGTGTTTGTGTAGGGCAGCTTGGTTGTGTTTGATGTTAGGGCCGTAGCCAACTGACTGCCAGGGTCTATTGAGATTTAATTGGCTGACCTTCAGCGGGCCAGCTGTCTCGTCTGAAGTATAGGACCACGAAAAGGCCCCTGGAAGTGAACGAGGAAGTGTGTGGGTGTGTGTGGGATCAAATGCACACACACACACCTGTAATTGGGTCAGGTTCACCTTACCCTAAGCCAGGGTTCTTCAATTCCGGTCCTGGATGGCCGAAACACCTCTGTTTTTCATCCTCTCCTTCTAATCAGGGGCTAATTCAGACCTGGGACACCAGGTGAGTGCAATTAACTACCAGGTAGAAATAAAAAACAGAAGTGTTTCGGCCCTCTAGGACCGGAATTGAAGAACCCTGCCCTAAAGCTATTCCTCACTAAATTCAGCTTATTCAGTACTGCCTAACCTCTGAACCAACATTTACACACTGCCCATGTTAAGAGTGTTCGTAGCTCTGGATAAAAATGTCTGCTAAATGACTCAAATATAATGTCAATGTTAAATCTTAGCTATGGGATCAGGTTATGCTTTCTTTATCTAATGTGTTGCTTGTCTCTCTGTTTCCAGGTGGAAAGAGCCAAAGAAGTCGATCAGCGGTGTGAGTGTATCTGGCTGTGACCTGGTGGTCACCTACTTCTTCTGTGGTGAGGAGATCCCCTATCGCAGCATGATGAAGACACACAGTCTCACCCTGGGACACTTCAAGGAGCAGCTTAGCAAAAAAGGCAATTACAGGTAAACACCGAGACTAATACACACACCTTTAATATAAAACTACGGGTGAACACACACACATCTTTCATGCACAACACACCTTTAATGTACAACTATAGGTAAACACCCCCCTTTCAAACACACATTTCATGCACAACACACACTCTCTAGCTAAAGAGCAAGACACTTTTTTTTTCACGATTTGAGTGCGTGTGTGTGTTTGTCTATGTACGTGTGTTTGTGTATGAACTAAATGTGTGTGAAGTAGTGAGAAGGAAGAGTAGAACTCTGTCTGAGCGAGGGGGGGATGGGTCGATCCACTGTACAGAGCGGAAAGGAAGGGATTTTTACTGGAACGATTTGGTTCACATCTGCTATTGATTTCCATAGTAAGGCAATCTTAATAAGGACGGCTTTGAAGTCCAGGCCTTTTATTTTGTGTACAAAGACTCAACAAGCCACTGCGAGGCACCCAAATTCCTCCTCCTCCCAAGGATTACATCAGGCAGTATTACGGGCACCTTTTTCTTCTTAGATTCAGTTATATGTTGATTTAACATTTAAGAGGGTCGCATGAGTTGTCAAAATCACTGGTGTTTTGATTAGTAGTCGTTGAAAGTGGATATGACTTGATAAAGTTAGGAATTAGAGAGAGACTGAATCGTTTCACACAATTTCACATTCAACCAAAAGGAACCTACACCTAAAGGGGACTCTAGAGTAAAGTAGAGTTTTATGACCGTCATATCTATAGGTTGTAGCACACCAAAGAGACAGTATTCCATGACATCAGTATCTCGATTCTAAACACCCATCCACATCTGCTTGTTAGTCCGCGCTAAACCCATCCAAACAACTCATCACACCCCCACCATCCCGTAACTCTTCCGCGGGAAAGAAAGGTTGATTTGAAGCCGATGGCTCTAATGGCTCAGAATGTGTGGAGTTGGTTAATTTCAACATGGCAGGAGAACAGTACTCGGCCACGTTTCCAGATGATATCGGTGCCAGATGTTGCATAGAGAGAAACTTTGCCATATATAACATGATCCAATGGAAATACTCCTTTTCTCTCCTTATTCTCTATCGGTACTTCTCTCGCTCTCTTTCTCTCCTCTTTCTCCCCCATTCTCTATTTTCCTCTCTTCTCTCGCTCTCTTTCTCTCCTCTTTCTCCCCCATTCTCTCTCTTCCTCTCTTCTCTCGCTCTCTCTTTCTCTCCTCTTTCTCCCCCATTCTCTCTTTTCCTCTCTTCTCTCGCTCTCTCTTTCTCTCCTCTTTCTCCCCCATTCTCTCTTTTCCTCTCCTCTCTCGCTCTCTCTCTGAAAAGAAGAGATGCCTTGGAACTATTTGTTGGTGAAGATGGAGCACTTTCATCCAAAGAATAAGGTTGTGATTAAATGGCAAGAGACACGAGCATCTATTTAGATTTGATTTATGTCACGAAGATGCACTTGGCTAAGGCCTCTACCTTATTAGTTTCAGTATCAGTGTTAGGATCAGTAGTTTCAGTGTTCAGGCTTCCAGAAAGGTTTGAGGCCCTTCGTTTCGCTACAGCCTTCAACCATGTTGAAAATGCATCATCCCAAAAAGCATAGTAACGCCCAACCATCCAAACCACACCCTAGCAGCTGTACGACCCTCCCTCACCATTACTCCGCCGTTTGCCAACCCTCTCCGCTTGCGCCTAAGTACGATTAAAAACATGATGAAGAAGTGGAGAAAATAACATGCTTTTTACGTGTTACACGTGTTGTTTGTATGACTTGTAGGCCGGCGTCGCTCATAAAAACAAGGGAGTCGGAATTCCTGGGCCCAGGCATACATGGGTAAAATGAGGCATTTTCTATTACCAAGCTTATCATTAAATCTCCCCTGTTGGTCATCACTGCCTTTAAAGCTAGAGGAGAAGAAACCATTAGTAACTCTAGTTAGTAGACTTCATAGACTGAGCTGAATCAAGCCTGGGATTTTGGGGGGAGGGAGGGGTGAGGGGTAGGTGGAGGTGTTGGTGAGGTGACTCTTTGACCTCCAGGAGACTGTCTGGATTGGTGTACTCCTCCTCGCGGGGTATCGGCCTTCGGGCCCGGCCTGCGTCCAATCTATCACACTCACGGAGGGGGTCCGGGAGAGAGGCCTGCTCCTCTCTTTCGCTCTCCCTCTGTTCTCTGCTGTTGATCGGAAAGCTGCCCAAAGTTTCTCTCTCTCTCTCTCTCTCTCTCTCTCTCTCTCTCCATAGTTGTCTCTAGCAGTGTGTTAGTAGGTGTGTGTGTGGGGCGTGTAGTGACAGGCAGACTCTCAGGCACCTAAAATGTCAGCCCTAGTGAAAGGAAGGCCCTTCATTTGACAGTGGGGCACAATTAAAAGGCCAGGCTAGACAAGGGGAGCTCAGTGCTAAGGGAGGGGGGGGGGGGGGGGGGGGCTTAAGACAGGTCCTAATTAGCCCTTCAACTTTAATGAGACCTTCCAGGACAGATAGGCATCTGTACAATGGCCAGCAGTCAAGTTCCTTTAGCTCCCTCTCTCTTTGGTCTCCGCTGCTGCTGCTAATTCCCTGAAATGATCACTGACAGAGCTATACCCAACCTGGCAACCCAAACTAGTTGGAGTGGTTGGGGTTGCCAGGGTGGGATGAGTTCTGTTTGTGAGTGGCGTTGGTGGTGCGTAATGTAGTCAAACTTTGTTCTTTGAAGTTAGAGGGATGGCGCTGAACTGTGTGACTAAGGCTGTTTGGTTACAGGTTTGAGTCATCGTGTGTGTGGGAGTTGGTTGTGTAGGTGCCGAGAAACTATTTTCATGGTATAAAATACTATTTTTAGCACTCACTTGTCCATAGTGACGAGTTAAAGAGGAAGACACCATGCTAGTTTTGTTTTGTACTCTCGAAACACCTTTTCTGACCATGCCGCTCTCTCTCTCGTTTCTCTCCAGGTACTACTTCAAGAAGGCCAGCGACGAGTTTGAGTGCGGGGCCGTGTTCGAGGAGGTATGGGAGGACGGCGCCCTTCTGCCCATGTATGAGGGCAAGGTCCTGGGTAAGGTGGAGAGGATGGACTGATGCCACCCTTACCCACCCTACCTTACTCATCAACCAAATACCCAACCTCCGGGGCACAGACTGTCGCGAGGAACCGGAGTGATTGACTTGATTGGGGGAAAACGCTCCAGACTTTCTTTTCTACTATTAAGCTAAATAAGAGTTAATATATCCAGCACAAGAGGAGTGTGATTGAAGGAACACGAGCCAATGAAGTATGCCGAACCCAGAGGAGGCCCTGCCTCCCCTCACTTTCTTAACCAATCAGCCTTAGAAACGCAAGTGAACGACACTACAGACTGAGAGAGAGAGAGACGGCGATTGGAGGCCTCTAGGCTCCCTGAATATAACCACTGAAGATGCAGATGACTGTTTGTCCATTACAAGAGACTAACGTTGCGATTACGTAATGGTAACATTGTGAGAACGTTGAGCTAACGTTGCGTCGCTCCCTGATCACCTGCAATGGACTGGCTACAGCACCAGAAGCCCCGCGAATGCCGGCACCTGCTCTTATAACATTGTGCTAACGTTGTGCAAACGTTGTTACAAAATGAAACTTCTGTACGTGTGCATATACATACATGCAAATATGTGTATATATACATGTATTATATTATATTGATGCGTTTTTGTCATGAGTTGAAAGTTTGAGTATTTATTGAAAAATTGTCCTCTCCCTCCCCCTCCCTCACGTTCAACTTGTCTATCCCCATCCCCATCCCCACCCCCACCACCCAACCAACCCAACCCCGTCCCCCATGTCCAGTTGATGGACAAGCTGCTTCGAGTGTTGGGAGAATACTGTGGTGATTATTTTAATTTTATTTACCTTGTAATGTCACAAAGGTCATGACACTAGCCTAGTGCTCCCCCTAACTTCCCCCCTTTACCCATGTCCAACCTCACTGTACCAGGGGTCTGCTGAGACTGAACCTTCCACTGTCGTAAGTAAACCAACCAACAACCCAGTCTTAATATATGCTGCTGCTGATATGTGTTCTCTTCCGTTTCTAAGCCAGAGTAAGAGTAGTTAGTTTTCTCTCACTCCAGCACAGAGCTCTATCCTTTTTAGTTGTTGTGCCTTTTGTGGACCAGGCATCACACAGGGAAAGACAAGAAAGAAAGAAAGAAAGAAAGATGGATTAGATGAACAGAGAGGACCTGGAGAAAACTTGTACCATCTAATAATGGAATGTGTTTACAGCGAGCACACCAAAATAACCTTGTCGCGCTTCTATCAAAATGACCACCTCTCCAGGAAGCGGTGGCTTAATATCGCTACGTTTCAAAATTGCTTCCGATCCATATTTATTAGCAAAGAAAAAATGTTGCTCCAATAGCATTTGAATGTTGTGAAAAGAACATCTTAAACTACAGAGCTCCTGTATACATTTGTAATTATGCATTTTCTGAAGTATGGATAAAAGGACACAAACACTATTGCTAGTGTTTTGATGAGGACAGCACCTGTGCCTACATGGATGCCATACCATGTGCTACCCTGATTCAGGGTGTTAATAATTATTCCCTTGGTTTTCAGAAGGGTTTTATGTTGAAAATATTTTTTATGCATTTAATAATAATATCCTGTAATCATGTTATTTGTTTTTACGCCATGGCTTTTTTTGTTTTGTTCTATCTAAACTGTAAATTATACATTATATACAGAGTTTCATTTAAAGATTTACATGGACCTATAATTATTGTAATTATTAAGAGATGTAGCCTTTATTAAAGTTTTATATTTTTCAAATGAAAGCTTTTGTTGTCTGCGTATTTCTGTTGTTCAATTGCAAACGAGAACGGGAATGCTTGATTATGTGACAATGCATATGACATTAACAACAAAACTGTCCTCTTTGGTGGAACATTCAAGACACAAGATTACATTTCTGCATTATTCTTCAGATCATAGTTCTATACGGGATTGGAATCCGTATGATCGAAAAAGTAAGTACAACACAGCTGCAGAATGATGAAGCTAAAGTGGCTCAATACTGACGGAAGTGGGCATTGCGTACTCATGGCCCATGGGGTAGACAGATGTAGCATTGTGTCCCAAATGGCACCCAATTCCTTATTTAGTGCACTACTTTTGACCAGAGTCGATAGATTCTGGGAATAGGGTGTGATTTGGGATGCAACCGTAGCCTGGCATTCAATTGTTTCAGTGAAATGTAGTAACTTCAGTTTGGACACCAGGCTAAGACAGATGTCAGGGTAGAAATAAACTGTCTGAGTCCTAAATGGTATCCTATTCCCTATATAGTGCACTCCTTTGACCAGAGCCTATGGGGCTCTGGTCAAAAGTAGTGCACTACAGTGCATTCGGAAAGTATTCCTACCCCTTGACTTTTTCCACATTTTGTTACGTTACTTATTCTAAAATGGATTAAATTGTTTTCTACACACAATATCCCATAATGACAAAGCAAAAACAGGATTTTTTGAAATTTTAGCAAATGTATAAAAAATAAATACATTATCAGACCCTTTACTCAGTACTTTGTTGAAGCACCTTTGGCAGCGGTTACAGCCTCGAATCTTCCCTCGGTATGATGCTACAAGCTTGTCACACCTGTATTCGGGGAGACTCTGGTTCTGCTCTGCAGATCCTCTCAAGCTCTGTCAAGTTGGATGGGGAGCGTTGCTGCACAGCTATTTTCAGGTCTCTCCAGAGATGTTTGATCGGGTTCAAGTCTGGGCTCTGGCTGGGCCACTCAAGGCCATTCAGAGACTTGTCCCGAAGCCACTCCTGCATTGTATTGGCTGTGTGCTTAGGGTCGTTGTCCTGTTGGAAGGTGAACCTTCACCCCAGTCTGAGGTCCTAAGCGTTCTGGAGCAGGTTTTCATGAAGGATCTCTCTGTACTTTGCTCAATTCATCTTTCCCTCGATCCTGACTAGTCTCCCAGTCCCTGCCGCTGAAAAACATAATCACAGCATGATGCTGCCACCCCCATGCTTCACCGTAGGGATGGTGCCAGGTTTCCTCCAGACATGACACTTGGCATTCAGTTCAATCTTGGTTTCACCAGACCAGAGAATCTTGTTTCTCATGGTCGGAGAGTCTTTAGGTGCCTTTTGGCAAACTCCAAGCGGGCTGTCATGTGCCTTTTACTGAGGAGTGGCTTCGGTCTGGTCACTCTACCATAAAGGCCTGATTGGTGGAGTGCTGCAGAGATGTTTGTCCTTCTGGAAAGTTCTCCCATCTCCACAGAGGAACTCTGCACCTCTGTCAGAGTGACTATCGGGTTCTTGGTCACCTCCCTGACCAAGGCCCTTCTCCCCCGATTTCTCAGTTTGGCCGGGCGGCCAGCTCTAGGAAGAGTCTTGGTGGTTCCAAACTTCTTCCATTTAAGAATGATGGAGGCCACTGTGTTCTTGGGGACCTTCAATGCTGCAGAAATTGTTTGGTACCCTTCCCCAGATCTGTGTCTCGACACAATCCTGTCTCGGAGCTCTACGGACAATTCCTTCAACCTCATGGCTTGGTTTTTGCTCTGACATGCACTGTCAACTGTGGGACCTTATATAGACAGGTGTGTGCATGTCCAATCAATTGAATTCCCCACAGATGGACTCCAATCAAGTTGTAGAAACATCTCAAGGATGATCAATGGAAACAGGATGCACCTGAGCTTAATTTCGAGTCTCATAGCAAAGAGTCTGAATACTTATGTAAATAAGGTATTTCTGCCAGAAATTTCTAAAAACCTGTTTTTGCTTTGTCATGAGGTATTCTGTGTAGATTGATGAGGGGAAACAATTATTTAATCAATTTTAGAATAAGGCTGTAACGTAACAAAATGTCAAGGGGTCTGAATACTTTCCGAATGCACTGTATATAGAGAAAAGGGTGCCATTTTGGACAGATCCCATGTTCAATCCCTAATTCCCCTCTAGTTACAAGGCAACCGTTGCCTGTTGTGAGGTCCCCATGGGCTCTTCTCCTTTATTTTCTAATTCTCTCCATTAGAGGAGAGGAATGGCAGATCGCCATGGCAGCTGACACCTCACAGGGAGAAACCCCAGGGTAACCCTACCCACTTAGCACAGACGTCAGTTCAACATCTAGTTTTGATTTACGTTTGGTTGAGTTGTCAACTAACATGAATTCAATGTGAAATCAACAAAATAATTGATTAATAGTTGGGTGAAAAAAATTATGAAATGCCCTTACATTGATGACTTTTTGCAAATCCAATTAGTTTTCCACGTTGATTTATCACATAGATCTTTTGGTTTGAAATTACGTGGGAAAAAAACATTGATTCAACCAGTTTTTGACGAATGGGTAGCTATCCCTTTTGTACTGTGGTCTTTAGTCCCTCCTCGCAGACCTGGGTCGTGTTCAATAGGGCGCAACCTCTTGCAACAAAAAACAAAAATCTGTGCTCTCATTAGGCAAAATCAGGTCGTACTGCTTACTGAACAGGACCCAGGTACACTCTGCAGTCTCCGCTGTGGCCTAATGGGAGACATTAGTGATCAAAATGGGGTCATTGGGCTAATTGGTAGCCCAGAGAGCAGAACTGGGAGAACTGCTTTCCCTCCTGCAGTCAACACAAACATTTCATTTAGTACCCCAGATCCCAATGAGACGGCTCAGCCATATTTGCGTCAATTATCTGGCTTTTATTTGCAGGAAATGATTAAATACCCTACAGAATTAATTCAGTCACCGCAGTCCTGCTACATTAGCGAATCAGAAAGAGGTTGTCCAAGCCAAGGCGCACTGCTCAATTGAGCTGAATTTGAAATCCCTTAAAATAGCCTTACTGACATGAAAATATATTTTTAATTGCCTCAAGCAAATGTGCCTGGTGACACACATTACTGACAAAGTGTCATGCGTCAGTGTGTAGCGGTGGGACGGAGTCAGGCGCAGGACACAGAACTAGGTTAATGACGTACTTTACTTGTCAAGAGTAAATAACATATCTTCCACGCAGGGAAGAAAATACAGACTAACATGTCACTGACAACAAAACAACGAACAATCACGCACAACACCATGAGGGAACCAGAGGGTAAAATAGGGAAACAAATTATCGTAATTGGAACCAGGTGTGTGCAAATTAGACAAAACAAGTACAACACAGAAACATAGATTGGTAGCAGCTAGTACTCCGGTGACGACGAACGCCGAAACCTGCCCGAGCAAGGAGGAGGAGCAGCCTCGGCTGAATTTGTGACAGTACCCCCCCCCCCCCTCGACGCGCGCCTCCAGTCGTGTGCCGACACCGGCCTCGGGGACGGCCAGGAGGACTTGGAGCAGGAAGAGTCGGATGACGACGGTGGAAATCCCTCAACAGGGAGGGATCGAGGATGTCCCTCCTAGGAACACAGCACCGTTCCTCCTGACCGTACCCCTCCCACTCCACGAGACACTGCAGGCCCCCCAACCGACGCCTCGAATCCAGGATGGAACGGACCGAGTACGCCGGTGCCCCCTCGATGTCCAGTGGGGGCGGAGGGACCTCCCGCACCTCAGACTCCTGGAGCGGACCAGCTACCACCGGCCTGAGGAGAGACACATGGAACAAGGGGTTAAAATGGTAATCAGGAGGGAGCTGTAACCTATAACAAACCTTGTTCAATCTCCTCAGGACTTTAAATGTTCCCACAAACCGCCGACCCAGCTTCCGGCAGGGCAGGCGAAGGGGCAGGTTTCGGGTCGAGAGCCAGCGGTGGCACTGCGGTGGCGCTCGCCTTCTGTCGCCTGATAGCCCGTTGCAGGCGTACATGGGCAGCGTTCCAGGTCTCCTCCGACCGCCGAAACCATTCATCCACCGCAGGTGCATCGATCTGGCTCTGATGCCATGGTGCCAGTACTGGCTGATAATCTAGTACACACTGAAATGGAGACAGGTTAGTGGAGGAGTGGCGGAGGGAGTTTTGAGCCATCTCTGCCCAGGGTATGTAACCCAACCTATCCCCCAGCCGGTCCTGGCAATAGGACCTCAGAAACCTACCCACATCCTGGTTTACTCTCTCCACCTGCCCATTACTCTCGGGGTGAAACCCTGAGGTCAGGCTGCTCGAGACCCCCAGATGGTCCATGAACGCCCTCCAGACCCTTGATGTGAACTGGGGACCCCGATCAGACACTATATCCTCAGGTACCCTGTAGTGCCGGAAGACGTGAGTAAACAGGGCCTCCGCAGTCTGTAGGGCCATAGGAAGACCGGGCAAAGGAATGAGACGGCAGGACTTAGAAAACCGATCCACAACGACTAAGATTGTGGTATTCCCTCGTGACGGGGGGAGGTCCGTAACGAAATCCACCGATAGCTGTGACCACGGCCGTTGTGGAACGGGTAGGGGTTGTAATTTCCCTCTGGGCAGGTGTCTAGGCGCCTTGCACTGGGCGCACACCGAGCAGGAGGAAACATAAACCCTCACGTCCTTAGCTAAAGTAGGCCACCAGTACCCACTAAGACAGCGCACTGTCCGGCCGATGCCAGGATGACCAGAAGAGGGTGACGTATGAGCCCAATAGATCAATCGATCGCGAACATCAGACGGAACGTAAACATGACCCACTGGACACTGGGGGGGAGTGGGCTCTGTGCGTAACGCCCGCTCGATGTCTGCGTCAACCTCCCATACCACCGGTGCCACCAGACATGAAGCCGGAAGTATGGGAGTGGGCTCCCTGGACCGCTCCTCTGTGTCATACAGCCGGGACAGAGCGTCTGCCTTAGCGTTCTGGGAACCTGGTCT